GCACCTGGGCTGGCGCAGAGGTTCCTGTCGTCGTGAGACCACTCGGAGTCAACTGCGAGAAAGAAAACCAGACACCATATCTGAGTAGTGTGGCACGTGGACCCAGCCCCCATGAGCCCTCTACTCACTCTCACCCAGGCAGGTCCTCGGGTCGCTGGCTCTGACCAGACTTGGACAATGTCCTGTCATCTTCTGGGATACCTGAGTGAGAGAGAGACACAATTAGAGGGTATTTCTGAAGCTGCAGTGGATCCCTGCTCCTCCTGCTGCCTTCCCGACTCGCCTCAAATTTTCCATCCTCGACAGAAAATGACACTTGGATGATAAAAGTCATCCCTGTCCTCTTTGCTACTGCCCCGGTTCGCCTCGAAGCCTCGTCCGATTCTGGAATTTGCCCCCGCCGGACCTACAGAACACAAAGGTACGTGCTCGACGGCGCTGCCCCGTGTAATACTTGCCCATCGGTCACTGTCCCCCAATGGCACTGAGCCTGCTTACGTTCTCATTGGCCTGTGACTTTGACTTTCTCAGACTGACTGTGGTACCGGGTTATTTTCTTAGTCAGCTAAAAGAAATGAAACCGAGAATCATTCCCTGCATTTAGCACTTGCATCTGCCAGACCACAACAATCCCCCTACTTACCCTGTCCTGACTGCGCCGAGGTTCTCATGCTATCGGCTGCAGCCATGGCTCTTGTAGTGTGGCATAACTGAAATACACAGAGAGAAAGTGACGTGACCTTTCTGAAAGCTCAGTGGACCTGGGCTCCGCCTGCTGCCTCCCCAACTCACCTGGAAGGCTTCTCTCCTTACAGCTGCTACCGAGACCACCCCTGCAAATACAATGGGTAAATGCTCAAACACTGAGCTCTCAAACATCTAGGGATGGCTCACAAGGAAAGCTGTCAGACTGCACGCCGAAGCGTTGCTACACACCGTGAAGTGGACAGACGGTCGCTGCAAGACAACATGGACGCAGAGGCTTGTGCTGACGTACTGCCTATCTCGGGCTCCTTTAGCTTCACCTCTGATCGGATGGACCTTCGGCACCTTCAGCAGACGGGCAAAGGGTTGTATATCGCCTAGAAAAAAAATTAAACAGTTACAACAGATATGCATAGATTGACCACATAGATAACATCCTAAAACTAACTCCAAATTCGGTTGGGGAGTAAAATTCTCACCTCGCTCGTCTCCCTGATGAGCCGCTACGCCTCGAGACCGATTGGGCCCATCTGGAAAAGAAAGAACAAAAAGGCACAAGATAAAGGACTCCTATGGCTAAAACTGACATCCTTCATCCAACACACAATACAACCTTCTTCCCAGGCTGCTTCATCTTGTCTTGGTCTGGGGTACACTGTGTCCACTTATCTGAAATAAAACCAACAAAAAACAAAGGGTTAGTCAGGTCACCCACATGGTCACTGAGACCTGAACCACTTCAAAGAACTCATTTCCACTGAGCGACTGAGAACTCTGACTGCAGCATACAAGAATACAAACGACAACCGAGCTTCAAGGCCNACACCCAAGCAGGGCATTGCAAGACCATCCTGCTCACAGACTGGACAGCCAGCGGCTCCACTGTCTAAGGGAACTGACATGTTGACCTGAGACTCGGAGCCCTATTCCATCTCCCCACTGATCCACGGAGCAGGGCAGAGCAGTTCCAGGCTGACCCCAAGTGAGACATCCCGGACCTGTGACCACACATATCACGTGGCACAAAACATGGATGAGACAAAGGACGTGACACAGACTGCAACTACTCTGCCCTGCACATGTGAATCCAATGATACAAAGTAAGCCCTTCCTTTGATGTGTCCAAATAACTTGTGCCAGGATACCCCTGGCACCGGACTAATTTCAAAAAGCCCTCCGGGCAATGCACAGACTTGCACCCACTCCCAACCCCTCTCTGGGACTTGGCCCTGCACTTATCTTTCCGAGAGCTGGGGATATGAATCCATCTTTGATGCAGAGGAGGAGCACCTGGGCTGGCTCAGAGGTTCCGGTCGTCATCAGACTACTCGGAGTGAACTATGAGAAAGAAAACCAGACACCATATCTCAGTACTGTGGCACACGGCCCCAGCCCCCATGATCCCTCTACTCACTGTGACTGAGGCAGGTCCTCGTGTCACTGGCTCTGACCAGACTTGGACAATGTCTCATCTTCTGGGATACCTGAGTGAGGGAAAGACACAATTAGACAGCATTTCAAAAGCTGCAGTGGATCCCTGCTCCTCCTGTTGCCTCCCCCACTCACCTCCAATGTTCATCTGCTCCCAAAGGTTACAAGGATGGCACCTGCAATCAAAAAAGCTCAGTGCTTCATCGCTGATCCTCTCAATACTTGGAGATTACCTACAAGGACAGCTCGAGAGGACCAAACTGTGTCCATCACCTCACTGTGAGTTGGCTTTGGCCCTGTCAGGCTGTGTACATCTCCTGCAAAAAAAACCCAGAGGCAAATGTGAGTACTGAGATACTGCCCAAGAGTTTGCTGCTCCCATGGCAGCTTCTATCTGACACCCCTTGACCGTGACCTCTTACAGGCAGGGTCCCCGTCACGTTGGACTGCACGTTAGAAGTTGGTGCACTGCCTGTAAAACAAAAAAACAAGTATGCACCCAGATTCACCACAAGTACACCGCCTGCAAAAGAGCAGCTAGTTGTGTCCTGCAGTCACTGCTCACCT